AGAGAAAATGTGACAATGAGTGTGTATATGTCCATGTATGACTGAAATTGTACTGAACACTGGAATTTGACACAACACTGTAAAATGATTATGAATCAATAAAAATGTAAAAAAAAAACAATCTTATGGTTACTAGGGGAGAGGGGGTTGGAAGGAATAAAGTTAGGAGTTTGAGATTTGCAAATATTAACCACTATATATAAAAATAGATAAAAAACAAATTTATTCTGCACAGCATAGGGAACTATATTCAATATATTGTAATAACCTTTAGTGAAAAAGAATATGAAAATGAATATATGTGTGTATATGCATGACTGGGGCACTTTGCTATACAACAGAAATTGACACACTGTAATTGACTATGCTTCAATTTTAAAAAATGAACAAACATAATCAAACAGAAACAGTCACAGATTCAGAGAACAACAGGTGGTTGCCAGAGGGGAGGGGGTTGGAGGTGGAAAAAAATAGGGAGAGGGGATTAAGAGGTTCAAACTACTAGGTATAATGTTGCAAGGATGTAATGCACAGCACAGGGGCTACAACCAGTATTTTATAACTTTAAATGAAGTATAATCTATAAAAATATCAAATCACTATGTTATACACCAGAAACTAATATAACACTGTAAATCCACTATACTTCAATATAAAAAAGAAGTCAGATGATTTTATCTTCACTCCCAAATCTATAAACCTATCTTTATCTAACTAGCCCATGTTCTAAGGGTTCCATCTTTTTACAACAGAAGGAATATCACTGCTCCCACTCAGGCATAATCACTTCACCTCTGCTCTGGATCCCATCTCTTCTCCCTTTGCAAGCATTTTCCTCCTATAGGCATGTCTTCTCCCTGCTCTACCAACAATTCTCTACTGAATTATTCCCCATTAATATATAAACTTAGTACCTCCTTTTCCCCCAAATGCCCTCCTGGGTATTGCTGATTTCTCTGCTTTTTAACAGCAAAGCTTCTAGAAAGTACTATTGCTATTCACTGTCTTCACTTTATTAACTCTGGCTTCCATCCCTACTACTCCTTGAAACTTCTCTCTTCCTTCACCAGCCACCTTCATGTCACCAAATCCAACAGACATGTCCATCTTCATCTTTCTCATTCACCAAAGGACCTGACTTGGCTGACCACTCCTTCCTTCTTGAAATACTGTTTCATCTTGGCTTTCATGACACCATCCTCCTTCTATCCCTCTTGACCTCCTCTTTCATCTAACCTCTAACTTCTTGCTACTGAAAGTGTGGTCAGAAGACGAGCAGCAGTGATTGCAAATCTGAGACGCTCCAGGATGCTAAGTCTCAGACTCCAGACTCACTGGACCAGAATATCCAATTAACAAGATCACCAGGTAACTCCAGGGACATTAAAGTTTTAGAATAATTACCCTAAATGCTGGTGTGCCCTAGGGCCCTGTGCTGTACTATCTTACGTGATACCATGCAGGCCCACAGCTTTAAGTACAACATATTTTTTAATCTACAAATCTCTCTCCATAGCTCTGACTTCCCTCCTAAATTCCAGATTCATATAATCAATAGCCTACATGACATCTTCATTTGGTTAGAGTCTCATATACTTCAAACTCAATGTTGAAAACAGAAACCTTCCCCCATCTCACTACACAGCCCCACCAAAAAAAGGATGGCTAAGTGTACTTAGCCCTCACAGTTTACAGGTACCGTCCTAAGTGCTTAACATGGAGCAGCTGCTTAAGTCCTCACATCACCACTAAGAGACAGGTACTACAATCATCCCCATTTTACAGAAGAGTAATTGAGACAGAGCGTAAGTAATTGCCCACAACCATACATTTCCTAATATCCCATCAAGGATTTGAAGTTGGGTAATCTGACTCTAGAATACACCCCTAACTGCTATACCTCTCAAGTTCATCCAACCTAGAGTTCAAAGCAGAAATCTAAAAGTCATCATTTATTCCACCATCACCCACTTCCAATCCTGGGTGTCTCATTTTCAAACATTATCTTGAATTGATGTATTTCTTTCTATGTCCACAGCCGCCCACTCTTTTCCAAGCCATCAGTTTGCTCATGCATTCATTAACCTCCCATCTGGTCTCCCTCCTTCCACTCTACCTGGTCTGCCCTCATGGCAGTGCCTTTTTTATAGTAAGAATCTGATGTCAGGGCCTTGTTTAAACCCTTTCATGGGCTGCCACATGCTTGACCATGGCCAAAAGAACCCATCTGCGACCTGAGCCTTGTCTTCCCCAGCCTATGCCTGACATTAGCCGCAGGAGCTCCTGCTCCTGGGACATGCCAGGTACAAGTCTTGCCCCACCCCCAGGGTCTTTGCTCTTGTTGGATCAAAACCACCTTTTCTCCCAGCTCCCTCTCTTCCTGCTGGTCTCAATTCTCATGTCGCCTCTTTTCAACCACCCTATTTAACAGAGTCACTCTATTTCATCACCCTGTTTTCTTCATTGCACTTAACATATCTGAATCTGAGAAAAAATATCGATATACTAGTTACATCCATAGCCAAATAGAGTACGAGAATGTACTACCTAGGTTTAAATCCTGGCTTTACCCCATGACCTCCCTGTGGCTCCCTCTCCTCATCTATTAAAAAGGGGCACAACAGTTCCTAGTCACTATCACTGCTGTGATGAAGTACAACAAGGCCTGGCACACACTAAGGGCTATTTAAGCATTTGCTATAATTATTATGTATACTTGAAGGCAAGGACCTTGCTCTTTGGTCTCTGTACTCCCGGTGCTCAGAACACCCAGCTCGCAGAAGTTGGTTAAATGAATGACTGTTGCTCCTCTTCATCGTTCCCTTCATATTAGTGATAAGATGTACCATTCCCCAGTGTTTTATTGATGTTTTTAATCCCAGGGTCACCAATTAATGTGCCTTCATAGTCTATTTTACATGCATTTATTTTATTCTATTCACATTGACAATTATCATACAACCTACAAAAAGTACAAAAAGCCTAATTCATTTTCCAATACCAGGTCAGAGCCAAGTTGCAAAACAGGAACTGTACGGTGAGTTACAAGCAGAGTTTGGGTGTCCTGCACAAGTCATACTGCCTGTCACATGATGTATTTAAAGCTGTAAATATTGCCACAGGAGAATCTCTTGTCTTTGCAGCGGCCACACAGTTCCTGCCGATGAGGCCTCCTTAGATCGATGTGTCTTTTCTTTTGAGAACAGGAGCAACGAGACTTTGAACAGGTCTTTAGAAAAGAAGGAACATTTTGGGCACTAAATGATCAAATTAGTGCTTCAAATGTAATTTTCAGATGAAGGTATTTCTGCCCACCCCCCATCCCTGGCATCTTTATCCTCCTTTGAATCCAAGTTGTACAAAACCACTCACACTCCATTAACTGTCATGCATTTTTCCTGGTGAATGATCAAAGATGATATTTAAGAGAAAATTGCTGAAGCAATCCAGAAGACAGAAGAGAAGACTTTTTAAATTTAGAGTCTTGTAGAGTGTCTTCACTATGTACATTTTTACATTTGCAGCCAGGCAGGGGTAAGGAGCAGAGGGTGTTAAGTGATTTGGTTGTCTAGACTGGAACACTTAGACACTAGCGCAGTGATTCTCTACTGGCAGCTCCCCACCTACCAGCAGACGTCTGGCAGGATCCTGAGATATTTTTGGTTGTCACAACTGGAGGGAGACGTGTTCTAGAGGAAGTAAATGTTTTCCTTCCAGACATGCCTAATCTTTACAGGAATTTGAAGTGTTTTTAACCAGTATCCCATTCTGTCTTCTGATAAATGAGAATCGCACCCATGGAGACTGGTACACTGCCATGACCCACCCCTCCCACCCCTGCTAGTCTTCAAAATTAATTACCACCGCTCTATCTTCTGTATGTCCATAGCTAAATAGAGTTCAGTTGAGCTTTACCTTTTGTATTTTTTAATTTATTTACTATTGTATCATTTTGTTTATTTTATCTTCATTGGGGGGAGGTAATTAGGTTTATTTTTAGAGTTGGTACTGGGGACTGAACCCAGGACCTCGTGCATGCTAAGCATGTTCTCTACTGCTGAGCTACACCCTCCCCCGAACCTTTTATATTTTGAATGCAGGCATTTTTATTTTCCAAATGAGAGTCTCAAATATGATTTATCAAACACTGTTTTTCATTTTCCACCCCATTGATAAGTATGCATCCTGAACAAAGTTCTAAATAGCAATACTCATATGGTGTTTACTATATGCACTGCTCTAAGCACTTTACATAGCTTACTTCATTTAATCCTTACATCACCTTTATAAGGAAGAAAAAGCTCAATTAAAAAAACTTAAAAAAAAAGTCAGGATTTACTCTAAAAGGTAGGTCTCTGCTTCTGGCAATGATGGATTAGGTAGTTTTGACCAAGTCTCCTGCTTAGGACTACTAGAAAAGCTGAGCAAAGAAAATGATCATTGAAAATGAGAACTCTCTGAAGGCACTGAAGAATTATCAAACTATTAGAGAAGGAAACCCAGAAACACAAGTGAGTCTGACATTCGGGTCTACATTTCTCTAAAGGCATCTGCCACTTCCAGGAGAAGTGAAAGGCAGCAGGAAGCTGAGAATGAGTTAAATAAGTTGATTAGGCTGAGGGATAATCTTAAATATATCAAAATGGAAGAGCCCTGATAAACAATTCAGGTTTTGTGTTGGTAACTGATAAGATGTACCCAAAGAATAAGGATGAACCAGACTTGACCAGCCTTCCCAGATGCTGAAGCCCTGCTTCCAAACAGCTCAACCTTGACTGGAAAACAGTAACCAGAAATTGCAAGTGTCCCTATCAGCCTGACAAAGGCAAACAATTCTTCTGTGGAAAAAGAGACTATCCTAGGCCTCAAATTATCACTATAATTTTTCATAGACAATATCTAGCACTCAAAACAACCGGGTATATGATGAGAGGGCAACATACTTGAAAATCAAGGAAAATGAAAAGGACAGCGACAGAACCATAGGGGATTAAGTTAATGGAGTTATCTGGTACAGATTTTAATTATGCCTACTATGTTTTAAGAAATGAGACTGATATTTCCAGAGAATTGGACATTTAAAAGGACATATTTCTAGTACTGCAAAATGCAGTAACTAATCAATAACTCAATAGGTGGGTTTGATAGCAGATTGGGAAAAGCTGAAGGAAAAATTACAGAAATGGAAGATACTTTAGTAGTTATCCAAAACTGAAGCAAGGAGAGAAACAAAAACATAGGAAATATAGAAAAGAGCATAAAGGTATAAGGGATATGATGAAAAGTCTAATATGAGTAATCAGAAGAAAGAAAAACGGAGGCAAAAGCAGTATTTTAAAAATAATGGCTCATCGTTATGGAAGACTTTATGGAGATCCCTCAAAAAACTAAAAATGGACTTACCATATGATCCAGCAATCCCACTCCTGGGCATATACCCAGAGGGAACTCTAATTTGAAAAGATACATGCACCCCAATGTCCACAGCAACACTATTTAACATAGCCAAGCCATGGAAACAACCTAAATGTCCATCAACAGATGACTGGATAAAGTAGTTTGGTATATTTATACAACAGAACACTACTCAGCCATAAAAAAATAAAATAATGCCATTTACAATAATATGGACAGACATGGAGATTGTCATTCTAAGTGAAGTAACCAAGAGAAAGAAAAATACCATACTGGGGGGAGGTCACATATGTGGAATCTAAAAAAAAGACAAAACAGAAACAGACTCACAGACATAGAAAACAAACTTACGGTTACCAAGGGGGGAAGGGAGTGGGAAGGGATATATTGGGAGTTCGAGACTTGCAGATACTAACAACTACATATAAAATAGATAAACAAGTTTACACTGTATAGCACAGGGAACTATATTCAATATCTTGCAGTGACCCATAATGAAAAAGAATACGAAAATGAATATACATAGTATGACTGAACTGTTATTCGCTGTACACCAGAAATTGATACAACGTTGTCAACTGACTATACTTCAATAAAAAAAAGGAAAAAAAGATAATGGCTCATAATTTTCCAAAAGTGATAAAAATCTTCAAGCTACAGATTCAAGAAACACTGTGGATTACAAGAAGGATAGATACAAAAAAACCACAACTTGGCATATAATTATAAAACTCCTGAAAACCAAGGCAGAGAGAAACATCTTAAAAGCAAACAGACTTAAGAAGGTAAGAAATATTACTTCAAAGAAGCTGCAATAAGCCTAATAGCCAACTTTACAGAAACAATAAACGTCAGATCCTTAAAGGGCAGAAAAAAACTACTGCCAGCCTAAAAAAGTTCTACTCAGCAGAAGTATCCTTTAAAAAAGCTATCCAGACAAAGTAAACTGTTGTCACCTTCAGATCTGCGCTACAGGAAATATTAAAATGTGTTCAAGTAAAAGGAAAGAGGTCCCAGATACAAAAAGGACCTAAGAGCAACAGAAAGGGTAAATACGTAGCTAAAGCTAAATTAAATATGACTATATGAAATAACGTCTTGTGAAGTTTAAAACTGACATATACAACAACAGCAAAGAAGCTAGTATGAAGTGATAAGGAATTATAGTGTTATGAGGTCACTGCATTGCTAAGGAGAGGTAAGACTGACTTATCAGAGTCCACATAAATTGTTACAGAATCACACTGTCATCTCTAGGGTAACTACCAGAAGAACACTAAAGAATGAATAACTGTCAAGATAATGGAGGGGGTAGATTTTTTTTAAAAAATCAATTCGAGTGAACACAGGAAAAATGGAGTAAAATATTAAGAAAATATATTTAAATCCAAAGCAATATTAAACAATAAATGAGAATGTCAGAGTAGAAAATCAAACAATAAAATAAACTATTAGACTAATTTTTTAAATTATTTATTTCTAAGTAGTAAAAAATATTTTTAACTAAGTGAAGGATTTAGGTTAAAAAAAGTCGATTATGAAAATTAACTATGTCACACTTTTCTGAAAAGCTGAAAACAGACATTTCCTGCAAGCCATTTTAAGTAAGAGCTCATCAAATTCTGTGACTTCCTAGACACTGGTGACAACATGGAATCAGATCACAGTTCTAATACTATCTGTTTAACGTTAGATTTTCTTATTGAATTTGAGCTTACTGGTCTGTATCATGGGTATAACACCTACATCAAAGGTTAGATTATAGGAGACTATGCAAAGCACTTAGACCCAAGGCTGGTACATAGTAAAGGCTTAATAAAGGTTACCTATTAAATTTATTACATCCAAAGTATACCTAGGGTGTTTGAGGAAAAACTCACACACCCCATACATAAACACATCCCATAAGGCAACTTAAGAGTAAATCTCCCTCGCCCTCAAAAAACCTAGAATTTTTGCTCTCTTTTCTAAAACATAAAAATTCAAACATATACACAAAATGTTATAACTCACAGAAAAAAAAATGTGACAATGAGTGTGTATATGTCCATGAATGACTGAAAAATTGTGCTGAACACTGGAATTTGACACAACACTGTAAAATGATTAAACAATAAAAAATGTTTTAAAAAAATTCAAACATATAGAAAACCTAACACTCATACACAAATATCCAAGGCTATCAAATCCTAACATTTGCCACAGAAGCTTCATGCTTAAGAATGGAAACATTATAGACCCAATGGAAATATTCTGTTTGCTTACCTGGCACTGGATTGCTTCTACCCGATAAGGGTTAAAACTCTTTTGGCATTTGCAACAGAGTTGTTTGAAATAAACCTAGAGAGAAATTTGTCTTTTATACAAGCTTATATGTACCCTAGGCTCCCAGTTAAGTAATCCATTCCTCCACCTTGTATCTTGCCTTTGCCCAGCTTTGCCCAGCTTTGCCCAGCTTGCTTTTGCCCTGAGGTCTTAGGTTCTTCTAGTGCTACCAGTCACTTTTTCTTTATTCTCTGAACCTCATTTTCCTTACCTGTAAAATCGAGATTAACACCACCTTTTTCTAAAATTCTGACAATTACCTAATAATGTCCACAAAGCACCATAGTAAAAGTCTTCAGTGGGAAGTACCTAGTATAATTGTATTCATTGTGCAGGCAGGATCCCTGACCTTTTGTCCCAGTCTATTTGCCTGTACCTTTTCATTTTTTTCAGTGTTTCCCCACTTGAACTTCAAATTACTTACAGTTACCTACCAGTACATGTGATTTTTAGGCTGTGGGCATTTTCTTGTGCACTTTTCCTCCCTTCCTCAACTTGGTGAACTCCTCCTACTTCAAAACCTTTAAAGCCCTGCTTGAACATCACGATGTCTTCCCTCTGAGAGGGTTAATCGTCCCCCTCCTGTAGCATTTCCATACACTTCCATGCCACAGGTGCCAATGCAGCTACTGCCAAACCTTGTTTTGTCTGCGTTACTACTATCAGAATAAATTTCTTCAGGGTTAGTTCTATGTCTTGTTCTTTGTATTCTAGTACCATTGTTTGGATTAAACCCCCTGTTTTTCTTCTGGCAGGAGAAGGAAAGTAATTTAAAAATCTGTTCACCTCCAATGACTAGTAAATGGCTAGTGAAAAAAAATCCAGTTATCATTCAGGCCTTAGCATGCTTCCTTGCCCTCTCCCTCTACAGCCCTTAAGCCAGAAAAACAGTGTCTAAAATGCAGCCACACAGGAGACGAACTCAAATGCCTGCAGAAGGTAATGAGATAGACCAGGTGTAGATTGTAACAAAATGATCGGCCCACACCCAGGGGAAGGAGAGAGCTGCTTGGCCCCTGCCTACCGGCTCTCACATTGAAATGAGTGTTTAATGACCAGAATCTGACTGTTAGGAAAATCTGGAAATGCAGAATGTGAACTCTTTCCCAATCTTAATATATTGACAACTAAATCAAAATGGGGGTTGGGGGTGAGGGACTGCTTAGCTTAAACAAGTCTAACTTTTACAATACATTATTTCTCTTATTGCCCCACCTTGTGGACAGACTGGAAATTTTCCATAGCTAAGGCCCAGCTAAGGACCTGTTGAAAATATATCAACTAAATAGTAATTATAGAAAGTCTCAATGTACACAAGAGCAAGCGTTCATCTAAATTACCCAACATTTTGTACGACAGGAGCTACCAAACCAAATATAACACCAAGATACAGTTCAGGAACCTCAAGAGCTGATGGGGACAGTCCAATTCAGTTCAACTCAAACATTCACTGAGCACCAACTCCATGCCTGGCATTAAGGATGCCAAGATGACTGACAGAGCACTACCGTCATGTTCCGTTAGCAAACATTCTTCCTCCGTTTAGCATCTGTGCTGCCCCATCCTTCTCCCGTGACCCACTCACTTTTACTTACCTTATTAGTTCCAGAAATGCACCACACGTAAGCACTTTCCCATCTGGTCTTACAATCTTTGCAGTGAAAATAGCCGTATTTTGGTTCTAAAAACTGCAAATCAGGAGGAAAAGGTTTTTACTACTTTGAGAGGGTGGGAAAAAACCAAATCCCTCTTTCCTTGTGACTTTGTATAAGGGGAAAAAAAACAAACAAGGAATCTCCTTAACCTCATTCGTTGCTCTTCTCAAGGTCACTCCACTAACTAAGCGTCTCAGCTCTCAAGGGCTGGTTACTCTAGAACGCTTCCTGCTGCTCTCACATTTTTCCAATCTATTTTCCCCAAGGCCGCTAGCCCCATCTGCACAAACTGAAGATCTCATGATGTATTTCACAAACCTGAAACCCATCTTTGTCTCCTCATTCCCGATACTATGGTTCCCAAACTTTAGTTTTTACAGGCTTAAGGTCAGCACCCTACTTTATCAAAAAGTTACATAACACAGTACTTGCAAAATACATGTTTTCTAATCTTCCTCTCCTTCATCAAATAAAGGCGAGAAGGCAGAAAGGATTCTACTTTTATCGCCCCAGAAATGGAAAAAGAGGAAAAGAGAGGGTAGGACCCGCAGAGGGCTGAGGCGAGGGGAGAGGAACCTCACCTGAAAGTTGGACTTCCGGAGAGGAGGGCCGGCGTCTCCCTGGGCTTGCTTGCTCTTCCCTTCCTGGGGACTCGAGGCATCTTCCCCCACCAACTCCTCCCGCGGCTGCAGTTCCTCGCGGGGGTCCTCCTCCCCACTTGGCGTTGGTGGTGGCTGCTGCTGCGGCTGGCTGGCCTCCACAGGACCCGAAAGCGCCTTCCTCTCCCCGTCTTCCCCATCCTTCCGCAGCCGCACCAAGCCCCTGTGGCCCATCACTGGCGAATAGACTCCCCAGGCTAACATGGGAGGCTTGTGACCTAGGCTGCCCCAGGGGGAGCGGCTGCGCAGGGTGCGAGGCCCCAGAGAGCACTGGACGGACTTGTCCACCCGCGGGCTCACCTGCACGCCCACCTCCTTGGTGTTGGCCTTGCATAGCCGTAGGCTCAGGCTGGGGTTCATCTGCGAGAGAATGGCCTTAAGCTGGGCCCTCTTGTAAGGGTCCACGTAGTAGTCAGGGGCGTTCGAGGGCACCAGCAGCCCCGGTCTGGCCAGGAAAGCGGGGGGACCGTTGTTTTGCCCCCAGTCGGGCTGTTTGTGTTCAGAGAGTCCAGGCTGGCCCAAAGGCAGCGTGTTGCCATAGCCCGGGTACAAACCGTACGGAACACGGACGAAGCGCTCCATTCGCCCACCGGGCGCCCAGGCGCAGCGCAGTATCCCAGAGTAGTTTGTTTGTGTCCTTGTTTTGCCTTCCACCTTCATCCGCCCCCTTTCTCCAGATCAAGTTGGTTCAGGCTTATCCCGAGCTTCTCCATTTATTTCAGATTCTGATGGGTGCTGCTGCCTATTATCCTAATTGGAGGGGGGAAGGGATCTCCCTACCAACAGAGGTCTAATTTGCCACCTGACCCTTAATTGCTCTTCCCTGCCTCTTCAATTCACTGCTCCTGAATCTTTTTTCAAAGCTGTTTTTCATTTAGCTTCTTATTCACACACATGCTTTAATTAGCAATTCATTAATTTATTACCATAATGACTTAACATTTAGGGATCCTGTTTTGAAAGATACTGTACATGGAATACAAGCAGTAAATTATTCGAACTGCCACCCTAGAAGAATGAGTACAAGGAAGAAAGTGTATTATAGCCAAGCTAATGAATGTAAAAAACCTGAACACAGGAGCAAGTTGCATTAAGTTATGGGGGGGTTGGGGGACAGTGCATATAATGAAAAACATGCTTTTCAGAGGGTTATATGACATGTCAACGGTTCGCATTAGCCCACTCTAGTGAGGACCTCTCTCCCCCCCCAAAAAAGTAGGGGAGAAAAGCAAATAGTTCTGATTTAGAAGGTAAATGCAGATTTAATTGCAGGATATTTAAGTATCTGAAGTCTCCCAGGCTTGAATTGAAACCTGAGCCTTGTTTACCAGGCAACTTACTTAACTCGGTGATTCAGTTTCCCCATCTGACAATACTAACCGATTTATAAAATTATTATAAGATTAAATGTGATATTGCTTATAAAGCACAAAGCAGAATAATACGTAGGTGTTCATCAAGTTGTAGCTGTTATTGGGTAAGGGTTACAGGCCTGTGTTTCTTCACTATTTAGACCTAGGTGATCAAAAGCTTTGGTATTTATCAACATTGGTAAGGCTTCCTACTACAGCTAAGGATTATGAATAAACTAAAATGACAACTAAGGAACTAAGTAGAGGCCACCCTTTCGCTAATCCAAGATGCCTCCGCTGTTTACTGCTCAAGAGCCTTCTGGAAACAGCAAGGCCCATGACCCACCCTCACCTCCAGAATCCAGCTGAAGGCTTTCTAGGTCACACAATAAACCTGAGTGAAGCCGTGTGCTAGGCATATCACCGATCTTGCGAATGATGAGACTGCCGTCTTCCCGGGCAGTTTGGAGGGGAAGTCTGGCACAAAACAGGGTGCCCCAGGAATGCCAAGGATACTACGGAAGCCTGCAGAGGGAAGGAGCTAACACTGTAGGAGACTTAAGGTGGGTTCCACAATTTTTCAAGCAGGGACACCGGCTCAGAGGTCTTGGAAACCTGCTGCCTAAGAGCAACACGCGGACTACAGCTAAAGTTCCTCTGGCTTCGAAACTCAGCCCCTTCCACTCTACAGGGAGCACAAAGCTGGGCAAGGGGTCCTCCACAACCACGGGCCACTCGGGGGCTTTCTAACGTCTGCCCACTTTAGGGCACGCACCTTCTTTTCACAGAACAAAGACCTTTCAAAGACCCCAGGCCGTGTCATCCAAACGTGAGACGGAGCAGAGAGAAGGGCGTAAAAGTACTGTGAAGGGGAGCAAGCTGGGGCGTATACATAGGGCGTTGTCCCTCCAAGCAGCGCGGCCTGGTACTCTGCAGCCTCAGGAGAAGAGAACAAGCGCCCCAGCGCGCTCCTTAGCGGCTCGTGACTGACGGTCAGGCAGCTGAACAAGGATTGGCTTTTGCCACAAGGAGAGGCGGGGCCCGCCCGGCCAGAGCCTGACTTCCGGGTGGCGCGCGCGCTGCGTGCTGCGTCATGGCGTCATCGCGTGACGTGGCCCGAACGGGCTTTTGGCGGGGAGCGTCCCGAAACCCAGGGGGCGGGAGGCGGGGGCTGCC